TCATTCATCATTCATTCATCATTCATTCATCATTCATTCATCATTCATTCATCATTCATTCATCATTCATTCATCATTCATTCATCATTCATTCATCTTTCATTCATCATTCATTCATCTTTCATTCATCATTCATTCATCATTCATTCATCATTCATTCATCATTCATTCATCATTCATTCATCATTCATTCATCATTCATTCATCATTCATTCATCATTCATTCATCATTCATTCATCATTCATTCATCATTCATTCATCATTCATTCATCATTCATTCATCATTCATTCATCATTCATTCATCATTCATTCATCATTCATTCATCATTCATTCATCATTCATTCATCATTCATTCATCATTCTTTTATCATTCATTCATCATTCATTCTCAATCACTCCAAAAATGATTTCTACAGCGGAAAAGGACACTTCTTTAGTGTCTATTTATTTTTATAAAAATATTCAATGTCGGAAAAATTAAAGAGTAATCGTCTATAGTGGTATGGACATGTAATGCGTAGGAATGAAGATCATATCCTAAGGACGGTGTTACATATGAATGTGGATGGTTATAAGGGTAGAGGAAGACCGAAAAAGAGATGGATGGACTGTGTGAAGGATGATATGGTGAGAAAGGGAGTAAAATAACGGGATGATTGCGAACAGAGATGAATGGAAAAGAAAACCATATTACGCCGACCACAAATAAATGGGATAAGGTAGAATCAGATGATGATGAAAAATAAATATTCAAGATATAATAGCGTGATTTTCTACATCAACTTAAAGGCAAGTCGGGAGTTCTGTTCGTTCAATCTACTGTCCGTTCGGAATATAGTTTAGTTGAGAAGAGAGAGAGAAGAGTAGAAGAAATTAAGAAGAAGTTCTTCTTAGCAGACTATTCATTATCATTATTTAACGTACAATTATAAACGTTTTTTTTGTCTTTATATATATTTCAATTTTTTTTTATTCAACTACGTTATTTGAACATATTATTTAATAATTAATACAAACAATCACAAAAAACAATCATTGTAACGCGGCACATCGAGGCAGCGTACCCAAGATACTGGCAGGCTGGCTGGCATACACAGGACGAACAGACAGCGACAGCGACTTTGTTTTATACTATGTAATGATGATATACACAAACGTTATTTTCCCGTATTAATCTATATATCAATATTATTTATTAAAATGTACCACATTATTATCTCTGATCAACGCGACGGTTGACTGGTAGAGAATGCCATCAAGCATTAAGTCCGCCATTTGTACAATTTTGTGTGCAAAATAATAAATATATAACGAACAGTCAGCGTCTAATAAAAAATTAAAAATACCCCAATTGAAACTATCCAACTACTATATTGTAATTGGGACATTGCGGCCTCGTTCATTCGTCGGCGCTTACAAGTTCTGCTCTCCAGCACTTTTCAATAGGGCTGTGCACTGCATATGGAAACATCCACACAACTGCATATGAAAGTGGCGCCGGTATCGGAGAGGTTGATGAGTAATCGTCAATCGTGGTATGGCCATGTAATGCGTAGGAATGATGATAATATTTTAAGAGCTGTTACATATGAATGTGGATGGTTATAAAGGCAGAGGAAGGCCGAAAAAGAGATGGATGAACTGTGTGAAAGATGATATGGTGAGAAAGGAAGTAAATAACGAAATGACTGCGAACAGGGATGAATGGAAGAGAAAAACATATTACCCCAAGTAAATGGGATAAGGAAAAAGCAGATAATGACTGCATATGGAAACAGTGTCTCAGAAACTAGAGGTATGAAAATGTTAACAACCCTATTTTTATTTATTACACCAACATAATTACGTTATATGTATATAACTCATTACAATATATTTATTCAAAAGGGGATCGACATGAGGACGTGTTGTATTTTATTATATTTGTACAGGTAATAGGAAAAAACGAATGACAGATGAACGAATGAGATTTAAGAATGAATGAGAATGAATGATACTTGAATGATAATGAGGAATGAATTATAAAAGTATGAGAATGAATAATGAATGAATAAGACTGAAGAATGTGAATGAAGAATGTATGATGGGTAAAATTTAATATATTATATGAATAAAATTTAATAATGATTGATATTTGAATGAGAATGAAGAATGAATTAGATTGCAGACTGAATGAGAATGAAGAATGAATGACGATGAAGAATGAATGATGAATGAAGAATGAATGAAGAATAAATGATAAAATAAAGAATGAATGGAGAATGAAGAATAAATATTTATATTGAAGAATGAAGAATGAATATTCATTCATCATTCATCATTCATTCACTCATCATTCATTTATTCATCATTCATTCATCATTCATTCATCATTCATTCATCATTCATTCATCATTCATTCATCATTCATTCATCATTCATTCTTCATCGTCATTCATTCGTCATCGTCATTCATTCTTCATTCTCATTCATATTTATTATACGAAATGCTACCTTAATTATAGGGTATTACATTTATATGACAAATTTGTGCTCACTATTAACAAAACAAAAGACTTTTGAATTATATCTTTTTTTTAAAATAATTTAAGGTATTGTTTCAACTAGAACTTATAATACTATTGAATGGACTCTTGAAAATTTAAATGCAAATTAAACTTTATTCTCCGCAATTAGGGTCCCATCTAGAACGTTGTGCCTGCAGAGCCAAGACCACTATGGTGGCCAGCCAAGCATCCTCCCAGAAACGAAGATAGCTCCTGGTATCTTCACAGGCTTCACAGAGCGACCTCACCACGAGGATTTGTGTACGTTGTGTGCTTACTGCAAGCATTCCAGGATTACTTGAGCAGCCGTTTCTTCGGATTCGAACCAGCCCCGACGAAGAGGACTGTCTGTGGCATCTATTGTGTACAAGTGTTTGTTAAAGAGATAGTGGCCCGTTATTATCTATCATTATATTAATTTTTTGTCTATTTAGATTCAGTAGGCGTTTTATTAATCTTTGTAGCTGCATCCCGAATGAGTGGAAAATAAAAAAATAAGACTTTAAAAGTGCGTTTGAGTTTATTTGATTAAAGATTATTTCTATTTCCATTTCTATTTCTGTTGGTTAACAACTTTTTCTTAAATAGTAAGATAACATATCCCAAAATGTTCCATTTGAACAAAGTGGAGACAAAGAATTAGTATATTATAAACTAGCTGTACTCGCGACTTTGTCCACGTGGATATTAACTTTATTTTCTAAAATAAAAGTAACCTAAGTTACTCCTTATTACATCAGCTACCTGCCAATAAAAGTCCCGTCAAAATCGGTCCAGCCATTTCAGAAATTAACCGGAACAAACAGACGCATGTAGTAAAAAAAGGTTATTTCAATATTACAAACAAACACTTCAATTTTATTTATATGTATGTATATATGTACAGATAACACTTGCTATACTATATTATGTACATAAACATGTCATACGCATCATTAAAATTAGTGACAATAAACGAAATCGTGACAAGAGCCGTAACTTTAAAATAAAATTGTTTAAAAAATTGTAGACATTAGTATATATTCCAGTTGTCAAACTATAATGAGAAAATTGCTATTAACTTTATTATAAAAATTAAGTATATTTTTATATCAATATAGTATTTAAATCACTGTTTCATGTATTTATTATAAACATATTATCGTATCCACTTATGCCATATTTCTAAACGTATTTTTTTGTATTACAACGTTACGACTGTCAAACAAGCATACGGCCCATCTGATGGTAAACAGTTACCTATAAACACTTATTCTAAACGTAATATACCTACTCGCAACATATATATATTTATTACTAACTATTACTGCACTTCGTCCGCATGAAATTTAGCTTTTTTTATCCAATTTTCTTTTTAGATATCAGTAACCAAAATTAGTCATTATAACATTAGCTATCTGCTAATGAAGGTCACATCAAAATCAAAGCAACTGTTTCAGAGGATAACAAGAACAAACAGTCAGCCAAATTTTTAAAATATTTTTTTTATTAAAATATTATATTATTATAAGTATCATAGGTATATACTTTTATACGCATGTAATTGAAAAGCTGTTAATTTTAACTTAGAAACAAACACTTTAACTTAATTTATTTGTATAGGGTTACCCACCCCGGATATGCATTGCTCTATTAATAAAGATAATAAGACCGAACTGTACCTTTATAATAATACAAAGTTACAATTTCATTTCCTTGTCTACATTCATACTAATATACCCACGAAATGAAATGGAATAACAAACTGTGTAACAAAATATTTTTACGACACAAAATGTTTACATTTTCCCGCGTTTACTTTTAATTAAAACTTTATTTTTTAATTATAAACCCAACGCAAAAATTTGCCAATTGTGTGCAATTGTTATGAAATGACGTACTGACATACATTCGGCGATTAATTTATGTGTATCTGGCTAATAAGAAGTGTATTTTATAATCTAAATTTGTATTTAAATTTATAGTTCTTTTATTGAACATTCTTTTTATACTTCAAGATTCTTTTCAATACTTTCCTAATATATATATTAGGAACCATATACCTAGTCATTCCGTTTTACCAAAACCAATAAAATAAAACTACAACAATTTATTTATATCATCATTACATAGTATAAAACAAAGTCGCTGTCGCTGTCTGTCCGTCCCTATTAAATCTTTAAAACTACGCAACGAATTTTGAAGCAGTTTTTTTTAATAGATAGAGTGATTCAAGATGAAGGTTTATATATATATATATTACATGTACACCCGTGCGAAGCAGGGGCGAGTAGCTATTGTATATATAAACGTTTACACGTACGAACGCAACAAACAACGCTATTATAAACATAAATTAGTGGCATTTAAAAGAGCAACGATTGTGATCGTATAATCCGCGATGCAACAAGTAACCGCCCGCCCTAGCGGTGGGCGGGGGAGCCAACACCGAAACTCAGTACCGCCGTGATCATGGCTACGGACGGACGTACGAAGCGTTCGCAGTCGATATGCGCGCCCGCCTCCGCGAGTATGGAAGCCCTCGTGGCTCCAATGGAGACCACGCCGGCGCCCCGCAGACGACCGGCGGCTAGGTCCCAGTCAGCGAGGATCACTGGTGGGCGCTCTGTACGGCACAGACGCCAGCAGCAGCAGCAGCAGCAGCTCGACAGGGAGACCAGAGCTCGGTACAGCTCGGAGCCTCGGCTGGCGGAAACGGAGACGCCGCCTCAAGTCAGGCGCCAGGCGTCTGCTAGGCGCCGACCACCTCCAGGACAACACAATCAGCCGCGACGCTCGAATGCGTTCCTCGACGTACCCAGAGGAACTCATCAACAGCCAGAGGAAGAACCAGATGAAGATTCGTACCGGCTACGCACCTTCAACATCACGCAGAAAGGAGGTCAGTGCTAATGGTTACGTTCATTCACCTCCCGACTAAATTTAAAAGTGTATGCTTTTTATAATTTGATTTCGGAACGGAAATTTGGCAGTCGGCCTGCCTCGTTCTGTCTCGGAGTATTTGAGAGTCGGAGTCTCACGATACGCGGAAAAGTCGAGGTACGATCGGACACCGGTACACAAAAACCGGGTTAAAAGGCTAATGATCAAAAGGTTCATTATCGTGAATCACGACGCGTAAACTTTACGAGGCCTCTATAAATCAGTTGATGGACAGGAACATTTCTTCTTTAAAAATAAACTTGTGTGAGCATCTTTAAATCTGCCCTATCCGTGCTACTATGCTTATATTATAAATTCGACAGTCTGTATATTTCTGTTCGTTACCTTTTCACTGAAATTTTCTTAATTATCTTTGGCTTGATGATAAATTGTTATCTCTCTAACTAACAAATTCAGGCGAAATCACGTTTCAAATAGCTTTGAAACACAAAACTATACCAGTTTGTAATTTTTAAGCTACTAACAGAAAGCAGTAGCTTAAATCGCTAGCAGAAGTCATCGAATTAATTCCTTTGACTATAACTAACCGGCTTAAAAAGCCTATTACTTTCTTTATTCCAAATGCTAAATTTCATATAAATTTGTTAATTAGTAAAAAAATAACACATTCAAATCACTTATAATGTTAAAATTGATGCATTTGTGCTACTATAATAAAGTTTTTTATCTCGTACAATAAAATCAATCAATTTTCAATTTATACTGAACTTAAGATTTCAAAATGATTCAATATTTGATTCTAATATATTATAGGTAATTTTCAAGTCTTTACTGAACATTAACTGGCGCGTATTATAATAATAACCAACCAACCAACCAACCACCAACCAAATGCCTAACCAAAGCTTATGTTATAGGTATTAGACAACTGATAGAATTACTAAAATATTTTTTGTAAACACAAACGTAATTCTATACATAGAAAACGCTAGTTACTGATAGAAATTTAAATACAGACAATTCTAATATAGTAGAAATGCAGGGAATAGAACCCGCGGCTAAACCGCTAGAGCACTGAGTCCGTGAATATTAGTATTTCATACAAGCTGACGAAAAATATATGAGGTACAACGGTTATATCTGATCATTATATTCTTGGAAATAAGATTGATAGTCTCATAAAGATGGTGCGTATACCAAGGTATATTCATTTTCCGATAAACGTACACACAACTTGGCACAGGGATGCCTACCCTATGAAAATTCTCGCCAAGTACGAGATCTTTAATATTTGGTACAAGGACATTTTCAATCTCGTACAAGTTTGTACTCAAATATGTTCTCCAATTTGACTAGGAAATTCATCCCCAAGTTCATCCCAACCTCGAAGTCTCGAACAGCGCGGTTTCAGAGGATCTTCCTCTCATCATACACATAGATTGTGGCACGAACTACTTGTCGCGAATTTGTCTAGAGGCTGGGGCAGCATGGGGTTTTTTAACAAGGTTTCTTAAAGATCGGCAACATGCACTTGACATCATTGGTGGTTCAGGCGTTCATACGCTACGGCAATCGTTTACCATCAGATGGGCCGTATGCTTGTTTGCCAACGTCACACTATAAAAAAACCTACGAAAATCAAAACACGATAATGTAACATAGATAAATAAAGAGTCAAAATGAGTATTTGAGATTTTGTCACATCCTTTATTTCTGCGTAAGAGTCTAAATATTTTAAGATTGGCAACCCTGACATTTATTTATCAAAATGGCGCCTTCCAGTAAACAATGATACGTGGTATCTGTTTAACATAATGCATATTGAACAGTCGTCGGTGAAACTCACCGCCTGTCTTTGTTAGATAACAACTGCCTTTGCTCACCGCTCCATAATATCGATTAATACTTTTGATACAACAGTGTATTGTGGACTTTAAAATTCTATGCACAGAGGAACTATTTCAACCTAGTTAAAATTATAAAATAATAATAATATCATTTCCCATTTCAAATTCAAATTCAAAAATCGTTTATTCATGTAGGACATTTTAGCCGCTTATGAACGTCAGGTTTTTACATTATAATTTTTTTCCCTACCGTCCAGTTCGGTATATAGATCCAATTGAGAAGAACTGGCAAGAAACTCAATTGAATTACTTTTTTTAAATCCAGTTTATTTACAATGCATAGGTATTTATATAGGTGTCTATGTCTAACATTAAATGAAAATCCAGAACATGAAAACTATTGCCATGCACGCTCGTCATTCAAGTAATCGTTTAGTGTGAATAGGCCTTGCTCAGTAAATATGATTTAACAGATGTTTTGAATTTATTTAATTTAATAATAATAACAATTTACACAACGTTTAATCCCAAGCTAATCAGAGCTCGTGTTTTTTTAATGGATGATAATGGAATGTTGCACCCGCTTGCTTACGGTTTACACAGGTGGGACACCAGTGGAGGATGATAAGATGAGCATGATGTCAAGTTAGTTAGACCATTATTTTCTGTTATACTACTATATTAGCAAACAAGCATAAGGCAATGGAGGCCTGTAACACCAGGAGTGATACGTGCAGGTTGCCGATCAAATGACCAGAATTGTCATGATGGTTTCCAAGGGGAACCACGTGAAGGAAAACCTAACATAATACATTGCTAGCAATAGGGTCATCAGTCCACATTATTATCAATCCCTTTCCTCCTTCTCTTCCTTTATATCCATACATAATATACATAGAAAGCATCCAAACCAATATAAAAAATCACACTCATTAATACAAATGTTTGTATCGTGAGAAGAAGAGTCTGCGACTATGCGGATGGTAGACGGTGTGCTAAACTGCTGAACTATCGGGGCCGTTATATTACTCCAATCACATCCGAATGTGAATTTTATTGTGGTACCTATTATAATGTTTTTAATGAAAAGAAATTTGATGACATATTGTATTAAAATAATTATGATATCAATTTCAATATTTGCATACCCCTACGGGGTGCTGCAAGTCGGGTACTTATATTATATTGTAAGATCAAAATTACCATGTAGCAGGCAAATAAATAAATTATTATTATTATTATAATGTATGTTTTCACATTGCTACGATCAAATAAAAATCAGAACAAATGAAACAAAATAACAAGACGATATTTTTAGCATCAGTAGAAGCAAACTAAAGTGTAATATGCCTTTGTATATAAATAATAATATTAATATTTCAAATAATAATACTATCTTAGGACTATTCACTCAGGGCCATCTAGTACTAAGATAAGCAGAGCTTGTGTTATGGGTACTAAGCTACTATACACTTTTTTGTAAATATATACATAATATACATAGAAAATACTCAGATCGATACCAATCATACTCATAAATACAAATGTTTGTACAGTACAAGGAATCAAACCTGTAATCATCGGAAGTAAAACGGTGTGCTAAACCGTTAGACCACCAAGGCCATCATACACTATTAATATCACTGATTGCATACTCTACGCGCACTCTTAAATAGAGTTTCATATATCATATCCGAAAATTCAATGTACCTTGGTATTATTTTATTCTTTAAACAACCATATCCCGGTCTTACGAGCACATTTGCGAAACTATTGTACCTACAGAATCACATCACCCCAAAAAAGGTCGCGCAAAAATGAATTTATACTCTATATATCACATAACAAAATTTACATTCTGTAATAGCCCTTCATGATTTACTAGTGGCTCGCCCCGACTTCGTCTGCGTGCTCATAACTTTATGAGTGTTGTATATATTAACTTAATATATAATTGTCCATCCTTCTCCAGCACCACATTCTAAAAGCTTTAGCTGGAAAGATAAAGTAAGAAATGAAGAAGTATTACACAGTGTGAAAGAAAAAGGTAAATATCCATATTTACCTTTTTCTATAGTATTCCAATACTATAGAAAATAGACGAGGAAAAATGTTAACACACTTGATATGGCACGATGAATTTATGAAAGTTATTATTAAGAGAAAGAGAAGAAAAAGACCGAAAGAAAAGAAGAAGAAGACCAAGGCACAAGCCTTGGTCTTCTTCTCCCGCTCTTTCCTGTAGTTCCTTTTTGTAGTTGTCTACATCAAGCAAAATGAAGACAGAATTCGTGTCGAGTCGAGTCATGACGTAGCAAGGTTTAAAGAGTATGATGGAAGATCGTAAAAAGTAGCAAGAGGTCCACCGACAAGAGGGTCGCTCTTAAATTATGTGCGAATGAGTAAGATTGTCAATTTGGAAAAATCTACGTTTCAAAGTATCAAAGAATTTCACAAATTGATGCATGTTTCCGGTGCTGAAATTATTTCTTTACCAAAGAATAATATATTATTGTTTAAAATTGTGTATTCATTTAATCTAATATTATTAGTACGGCGATGGCTATGACATACGTTTCTTCGATGGACTACATCTTAATATAGAAACTGGCTGGTCAAAATGAATGACGTACTCCAACAGCAACACACTTGTTCTTCTGTGCTCTGACACGGTTACTGGAAATTCAGGAATTCATTCACTTTTCTTAGAAACATTCATATGTGCGTGTGCAGCGAAAGCTAAGACGTCACTGGTTAGTGAATTAGTTGAGAGGGGTTAAAGTATAATGATAACGTAAAGTTATTTTTTTATATTCGAATGGTTAAACTTGCCATATCTTTTATTTCGCATTATATGTCCAAAGTACTGCAATTTCCTACGTTTAAGGTACCATTAAATATTGTTAACAAGGAATTTTTACTTCACTCTGCAATACTGTTCAAGTAACTCAAACAAAATTGGCAGTTGGAATGTTCAAACCAATTTACTGCTCGATGGAAATCTACTGACATATCAACTTCTCGGAACTTGCCTTCAGAGCTACATAAACTTTTCTACTGCGGAAATGATCCGAATATAACGGAATCCTAGCTTATACTAGCTTTATTATCGAGCTTTCAGATGTAGATAATGATTTTTCCGTTATGGCTA